CCACATCGGGCTCCCCGCTCAGCGGGGAGTCTGCCTCTCCCTCTGACCCTCCCCCCTCTCATGCTCTCTCTCTCTCTCTCAAATAAATAAATAAATAAAATCTTTAAAAAAAAATTCTGAGGAGTGTGTTGGTGAAGACACTGGCCCACATCGAAAGAAGTTTGACTCTAGCCAAAGCTCTTTGCATGTCAGAGGCCGCCATAATTTATTTTTTGTTAGTTTCCCCAAATTATTCTCACAACTAAAGGGACACATACCTTCCTGCCAGAAAGGAGCAGGAAATCAGATTCTTTTTCAGCAGGGTAACGTCTCCTGGAGAATGATCCACCGTGGATGCTGAAGAAAACCACTAACAAGAAGCAACGTAAAAACTCAACTCTTTCCAAAGCCAGAAAAACCATCCTCGCGATTTCCATTTGCATTTGAATGCATGACTAATTTATTTTGTTTTGGAAAACAGTAGCAAATATACATCATATAGAGAGACAAAAGTTTTTTTTTTTAAGATTTTATTTATTTATTTGACAGAGAGATAGAGAGAGAGAGCACAAGTAGGCAGAGGGGCAGGCAGAGGGAGAGGGAGAAGCAGGCTCTCTGCTGAGCAGGGATCCCGATGCTGGACTCCATCCCAGGACCCTGGGATCACGACCTGAGCTGAAGGCAGCCGCTTAACTGACTGAGCCACCCAGGCACCCCTGAGAGACAAAAGGTTTGATCTAATATGGGGAAATTCAAAATAGCACACACGATTGGAAGCAATTGCTACTCAACACAGGATTACACGTCCTGATATTTAATGAGACATTGGAAAACATATAAATCCAACTAATTCAATGGCCATCTTCAAATCCCATTTTAGAATTGATGATGTTTCGTTAGAACACTTGCTGAAAACAAACAGGGAACATGCTGACAAACCCGGGCCAAACACACTGGCCAAGAAAACCCCAGGGTTCAGGGACTGGCTGAGACCGCTGGTGATGAGGTGGTGGCACACGTTGTCATTGTTTGTCACACAGCCATGCTGACACTCTATTTGCCTTACAAGTTACTCTGGTCATGTTCCAACAATATTCTGTCAGTAGAGGCCTGGAAATTGAAAATCTTTTTTTTTTTTTTCAGTGATAAAAGTTTCCCAAAGGTGAATGGTCCAAGAAAGAATCAAATGATTTATATAAGTGGGATAGATAACCATTAGTTAATTTAACAGAGGAATACTACCTGTAGTTGTTGTAATTGATTTGCTTTCTAAAGCACCAGAAAACACTTGACACTGTTGCTTTGACATTTTGCTGGAGAGTTTTGAGCACAGAGCGTGGTTCTGACCTTCCTTCTCAGCGTGGTTTTCCTGACACTCATGTGGATGGAAAAATGAGTCAATATTTAGAGAGCACTTTTACATGGAGGACGGCTCCCAGCCTATGCTAGGGTTGTCCCACTGAGTTCCAGCAGCCCCACTATGAACAGGGAGTTTTCTCTATTTTATAAATGAGAAAAGGGAACCACCGCCCAAAATAAGTGGGAGAGATAGGATTTGAGCCCAGGTCAGAGGATTCCCAAGCTTGCACTTACAATCACTGCCTAAAAGAAGCAATGAGAGAAACAAGAAAAAACATGGCAAAAAGGAATAAAGCAGAACCACATAGGCCAATGTGGAGGGGGATATGCAGAAAGAACATTAAGAAAGAAAGTTGTAGAAGAATACATGCGGGACATAAAGGGGCCAAACATGAAATTAAGGTGCTGTGTTGCTCAGGGAGACAGGTCTATGTCAGACAGACAGTGGAAAGAGACGCGTGAGAATGATGATCTCCAAATTGAGTTAGACGTCGCCTTGGAGTGGGACCAGCTGGTCAGACTGGGGGTGTGATTGGGGTCCCGTCAGATCTCAAATGATGAGTCACGTTTCACTTTTTAAGCTGGACGATAGGAACATAGGTGTTTCTTATTTGTGTCTCTTTTTTTTTTTTAAAGAGTTTATTTATTTATTCATGAGAAACAGAGAGAGAGAGAGAGGCAGAGGGAGAAGCAGGCTCCCAAGGAGCAGGGAGCCCCATGCGGGACTCGATCCCAGGACCCTGGGATCATGACCTGAGCCGAAGGCAGATGCTTAACCATCGGAGCCACCCAGGCGCCCTCTTATTTGTGTCTTTTTAACACATTAAATGTCATGTAATTGTGTGTTAAAGCTCCATCCCCAACCTGAAGCCCAGAGAGGACAGCAGCAGGACCTCAGAATACAATGGGGAGAGAGGGTTCCAGAAACTCAGGGAGGGAGGTTTGGTCTTGTAGGAGGGAGCTGGAGTCGTGGCTGTTTGGGGCAGGGGAGAGACTGACCTTAGAGCCAGCCGTGGGTGGGGACTCGGCTGTGGGGTGGGGGAGCTACGTCAACGGGTGTGGATGTGGCTGGAGGGAGAAGTTTGGTGCCGGGAATCTAAACTGAGTTCCATCTCCCCCTTTCCATCATCCTTTTCTAGTTGCTTTCCCCAACACATGTCCATCATCTTAAAGGGAACAAAATCCATCAAACACTATTTGTGTGCTTTGGTTTTTGCCACCCTCTTGGGTTACCATCTGATTTTATCCCCCTTTGTTGCTGAAGTCCTCAGGCCAGTATTCTGGCCCCTCTCCTCCTTTCGTATGTTTGTTTGTTTGTTTGTTTCTTATTTTGCTTTTAAACTCCATAATCCACTGCAGTCTACATTCAGTCTCATATCACATACAAACTTCGCCCCCTAAAAGACCTCTGGCCTCCTCCCTCCTGGCTAATCATTTCCCCCCCCCTCAGTGGCCTTTCTCCTTGAGCACTCTGGCATTATCTGCCTTCCTCCTTACATGCACCCATTTCTAATTCAGAGGCGGTCCCCTGTCTGGGATGTCCTTCATCCGGGGTGATCGCTCCTCTCTCTTCTCCTTTCTCTCTCTATCCGACCACCTGCACCTTCCCACATGCTTCTTTCCTCATTGTACTTTTCTGGTAAACGAGGCATATTTTAGAGACAGGCTGCTGACCCATGGACACTGCGCTAGGCTGGTGGTCCTGACACCTGCGTCAGTCCAGAACCAGCTGTGTGCCTGGCCTCACCCAAGCGACGTTACTTTGCTAAACGACTTTCCCCACCTATGAGATGGGGAGGCTGTGTTTCTCAAACTCAGACAATCTGCAGCAGTTTTAAAGATGTCTTGATTCCTTTGCCCCGGGGGTCTGCTCCAGCTGGTCTGCACGGGCTCGCAAGAGCCATTTGTTAAATTTTCAAGCTGGTTGTCAAACGCAGTTAAGGGTTGAATCACTGAAATTGACAAATTACGGTAAGAACAAAAGTAACGAATACTCCAAATTCACCGCTTCCTTGTTCTTTTACTACTCATTACTCTTGAAGTCACTCGTGTCGGCTGCGCCCGTATGGTAGAAAGGGTGGAACATGCTGCTGCGCACATCGTCTGCCAGCCCCAGGTTCAGGACCGTCAGGCTGGGAGCTGGATGTCAGCCGTGGCTGAAGTATATTCGCCACGGAAGTTGGCAGTCACTCCAGATTGGGGCTTGATTTAGTGTTTTTGTTGACTGGATGTCTAAGAAATTGATGGAGAAAATGTTACAAGTACAAATTCAACTTGAAAGAGTCTTAGGTCTATGGCCATTACATTATAAATAGCACCTTAATACAGTGTGCGACACATCTTTTACATCAGTATAACTTATAATAATCTCTCTATATCGTATATATACACATTCTCGTTTGGGGTGGAGAGCAGCTTGTTAGACATTTACCACCACTGTGGAAGCCCCACCCAACTGCTCGCTGAATCTCTAGGAGCTGAACCTAAAAATCTGAATTTCAAGGAAGCTTCTTGTATGAATTTTGATAATTGTGATGGTTAGTTGAAAATAGGGCCATTTACTGGTAATTGCTGGTAAAAACATAAGTCAGACAAGGTACCAAAAGTAGACACAAACTCAACCCCCTCATATTAGTTTGTTAGGCCTCCTGTAACAAAGTACACAGATTGGGGGACTTAAAGAAGAGAAATTAATTTTCTCACAGTTCTGGAGGCTGGAAGTTCAGGATCAAGGTGCTGGGAGTGTTGGTTTCCTCTGAGACTTCTGTCCTTGGTTTGCAGATGGCTGATGACACCTTCTCCTTGGTGTCACTCTGTATGTACTAATATCTGTGCATATGGACACTAGTCAGATGGAATTAGGCCCCACCCTAACAGCCCTGTTTTCACTTAATCACCTCTTTTATTATTTTTATTATTATTATTTTGAGGGGGGAGGGGCAGAGGGACTTCTGAGGGAGACAATCCTAAGCAGGCTCCACACTCAGTGCCGAGCCTAACACGGGGCTCAATCCCATGACCTGAGATCATGACCTGAACCAAAATCAAGAGTCGGATGCTTAACAGACTGAGCCACCCAGGTCCCC